GTTTTGCATTTATTTTTTTGGGGGGGGGGTACTAGGGATTGAATTCAGGACCTTGTGCTTGTAAGGCAGGTGCAGCACCACTGAGCTAAATCCCTGGCCCAAGGTTTGCATTTATTAAAGGCAGGAAAAGAAACAGGTTCCGCAGAGTGAGTTTGGGCCAAGTAAAAGTAGGAAAATAAGTACGCTCTACAAGAGAGAGTGGGCAACAGTGAAGGGACACAGCAGCTGACTTTCATATAATTCTTATGTAACAAAATATTCTCCTTTTGTTTTTTTTGCAACTATTAAAAAACTTAATAGCCATTCTTGGCTCACAGACCTTATAACATTCATAGTAAGCTTTCAGCCCTGACCCTCACTGAAACAGGTGTGCAAGTTACTATGTAGGCAGTGCTCCCCAGCCATTTCTTGGGTTTTAGTTTATTAGGTCCTGTGTACTATCCCTCTGTGCCAGAGAACAGGCCCTGTTAAAATAAAGATTCAATTGGGTGTTTTTGTAAAAAAAGAAATAAAAAATTGGCAAAAGACAGGTGGCAAGTCAGATTTTACCTCTGGGCTGAACCTGATCTAGTCCAATAAATTTCTTTAATCATCCTAAAAAGTATTAAAGTACTCTTTTATTAATGATTATTTATTTTAAGATCCCATTAGATCAAATTATTCCATAGACAGCCAGGTTCCAAAATGATTTATTTATCAAATCTAACCAGTTATTTCATATTTTAGCACTAACTCATATACTAAACTTAAAATACAACTATGATAGGGGCCACAGATTTAGCTCAGTGGTTCTGCTGCCTGCCTCGCAAATGCAAGGACCCAAGTTCAATTCCAGGTACCCAGGTACCAAAAAAAAAAAAAACTATGATAAAATAATAAAATTAAGTTACAGGATGTAAATGGTCACGACCACAATGCAATTACTTATTTTTTTTTTTTTTGGTGGTGGTACTGAGGATTGAACCCAAGGCACTCTACCACTGAGCTACATCTCTAGCTCATTTAAAATTTTTTTATTTTGAGACAAGGTCTCGCTAAGTTGTCCAGGCTGGCCTTGAACTTGTGATCTCCTGCCTTTAACCCCTACTAGCTGAGATTACAGGCATGTGCCACACTGTTGGGCTCAATTACAGATCTCCCCCACTACCCACCCCGCAGCAGGGATTGAACTCAGGACCTTGTGCTTTCAAGGCAAGTGTGGGCACCACTGAGCTAAATCCCTGGCCCGCAATTACAGATTTTTAATAAATACAGTTTAAATGAACCCTATCCTCTTGAATGTTGTAAACTTATTTATTGGGTGTTACCAATCTTTTTTTTTTTCTTGGTTTTTTGAGATACGGTCTCACTTTGTAGTTCAGGCTAGCCCTGAACTCATTAGGTAGCCCAGACTAGCCTCGAACTGGCGGTGATCAACCTGCCTCTGCCTCTGGAGTGCTGAGATTATATATGTGTGCCAACACGCCCAGCACCAATCTTAAAATTAATTATAAAACTGAATTTTAGACTATGGTGTGTTCTCTTGCCTATCCTTATACAGTGGAAGTGTTTCTTCTGAAGATAGATGTGAATGATGTCTGGAAATGTTCAAGTCATTTTAAGCCTGAAAAATGATTAAGTTGGTTTATCCTACTTAAGGCTTATAAACTGATCTGGAAGAGAAATGAAATTCAAATGAGATATCTGAAAACATTTTTTAGCAATAAAGTAAATGTGATTTTTCTTTTTTTGAGACAGGCTCTCATTATGCTGCCAAGGCTGGCCTTGAACTCCTGGCCTCAAGTGATCCTCCTCCTGCCTTAGCTTTTTTTTTTTGGTACCAGGGATCTGACTCAGGACCTTGCACTTGTGAGGCAGGTGGTGCCACCACTGAGCTAAATCCCCAGCCCCTGTCTTAGTTTCTTGAGTAGCTAAGACTACAGGTCTGTGTCAGGGTGTACGGTAGTAAATGTCTTTTTTAAGGTGACCACTAGGAGGAAAATATT